GGTTGAGGTCCGGCAGGGAACACTGGGCGGGGATGGTCGTGGTTGAGGTCCGGCAGGGAACACTGAGCGTGGATGGTCGTGGTTGAGGTCCGGCAGGGAACACTGGGCGTGGATGGTCGTGGTTGAGGTCCGGCAGGGAACACTGGGCGTGGATGGTCGTGGTTGAGGTCCGACAGAGAACACTGTGGATCGCGAGTCGCAGTTGAGCAGGAGGACGAGGAGGACAACGAGAGGAGGAGGAGGAGGAGAAGGAGGAGGACGAGGAGGACGAGGAGGACCAGGCAACTGACATAAAATCTAACAACCCTCACCTGGCAGGTGGGGAAAAAAGATATGACATGACATCACATGTCTATTTGGATCGATATTATAGCGCATGCAACAAGCCCTGGAACAATCTGCAGTAATCATATCATTTATATCTTCCAAATAAATGAAATCTTCAAAATGGGTCTGTCATGGTCTGTCCAAGAACTGGGCACACCCATTCGATCCACTGGTAAACCATCATTTTACTTGCCATCAATTGTCAATTGGTGATACATTCCTCGTTTTCAGACAACCTCAAAGGTTTTTCATCGTTTTACCCATCAAACATGCAATAAATAGATTCTAAATCCCTTACCCTCTGGCAAACTAGCATAGCTATGGAATTGTGATAGGTAAATCAACTATATTAAATGTTCTAATATATTTTCTACATTTCTATGGCTCATCTTCATTCATGTTCCAGTTCGAAAAGTATGAATGTGTACCAAATGGTTTACTTCGATCTGAAGATCACCATAATCTCCACCAGCTTCGTATGATCCGCCCTCTCAGGACACCATCCGCGGCTGCATGCGTTTGGGCTTCGGTGGCGGTGGCGGGGTGCGGCCGCTGTGGCCGTTGTGGCCGCTGCTCGCCTGGCGACCATGGAGGACCATCCCACTATATCTTGATATATGGGGATATTTCATGATCATTTCATGATAATGTCATGGGAAGTAATGTCTTTTTTTGGGGTATTTTAATGAGATGTGATGGGATTTCATACCATTTACCCAGAATTCATGCGTTTATAATTTCTAAGTATTGTTATAAACCACTTACTACGGAACAGTAGGTCAGATGATCCAAGTAAGGGCTCAAAATGTGACAAACTGCTACTTAAAAATGTGAAATTGGACCATTTGTTTATCCAACATGTATTCCCATGTACTTGTACTCATTGAACATGTCAATATTGAAAACTCTCGGGGTCTTAGATCACAAAACATCTGTTCTGCGAACTCTGTTTTTTCTTTTTAAGAAACCTATGACTACAGAGTTGACCAATAATTTCATAAATCACTGGATTGGTTTCTGCAGGAAAATCTAAACCGGAAACCATCGATTTTCCCATGATAAAAGGGGTTTTCCTGTAAAAATTCATATTTCATGGTAAACCCCATATATCTCTTTGCAGTTTCATGGAAAAGCCCAGATATTTGCTGGAGAAATATGGGGTAAACCAACCCCCGCCAAAGTTGTCACCATCCCAAAAAAATCTGTCGGCAAGTCGGCACGCCTTTATCATGGCATACCATGTAGGGTCCCAAACGTTATGTGTTTATATATAATGTGTATATATATATATATGTATACATGTGTATATATTTATATATATATGTAATTGTTGGTTTATAAAACCCATGAATACTGTAGTTGTAATGATCATAAACCCTATACGGCTGTTGGAGCTATTTGCACCGCCCCACATTTTTTTTGCATCCATATTTTGGGGAACAACAGAACCAGCCCGGTGGCAAGGAACAGATTCAGCCATAGTCATGGTCAACTTGATTCTGGTAAGCTTCTGATCATCAAAGCAGTCACGTTGCTAGGATTTGCAAAGATCACTATTCAGCGCGTTCATCATACATCTAAGGCAATGGTTCATTAGTTGATCTAAGACATATTTGATCATTGAATAAGCAAGTATAAGCAAGTATTAAACAATAATCTATAAAGGCAATAGAATATGAAAATGTAAATTTGATAAATCATCTAGTCTACACAGTCTACACGTGGGTGATTTACCCAATGTTTGATTACCGGAGGGAAATGGGAGTTTATGTGCCTCCAAAATCAACAAATCCAATCCGAAAAACTAAAAAGATGGAAGTTTCTATGAAGGACCAGGAACCAGTCGCTGAAACCCTAGGGTTTCTGCAATTCGGCAATGCTGAGAAACGAGGGCTTGTCCTGAATCAAGGTTTCAGAAAAAAACATATAACTTGCCAGGCCTCAAACACTTGCCGTTGAGACGATGGTTCACCAGGTCACTTGCGCGGGTCGTCGATCACGGTCTTATAATCCAAGACGAACAATAGTAGCAAACAAATGATAAACACTAATATAAGTGCAAAACAAACAACCTATATAAGTATCAGTACATATAAATAATAAAACCACTACCCCTATGTGTTTCCAGCCGTTCCTGAGAAAGTATGACTGGGGAATGACGACTGGGGGTGATTCTTATTAAACACTAATAATCATCATTATAGCAACCATCAAAAAGATAGAATTGTGTTTCCACGATAGTATAGATGATAAATATATATATATATATACATATTTCCAGGTGTTCAGTTTGTCTCTCTATTTTTCGGATGCTATACAGTGGCAACACAAATTTTGTTTCACACTGCTCACCCAGCGCTGGCGCCCAGCGCCTCTCTCGGAGCTTCAGTGAGACGAGGAGCTTCTCTCGGAGCTTGCCCGATTGGAGCGCCTCGATGGCCGATTTTCACCACTGATTTACCCGGAAAATGACATAGCTATGGAAAATCATCATTTTGTAGTGTGTAGTATGATTTAACAGTTTATATGCAATTTTCTACACTGTATATGATAAGTTGCCCGAGGCTAATATTGAACAAGTGCACAGCATCCACCAATTTGAGCAAACATCATTTAGTCAAACACATGAAAGAAATTCAACACATCCACTAATTTGAGTGAACATCATCAATCGCGGTGTTACATGATATGATATTCCTTGTTTAATCAAACACATTGTTTGTTTGACCCCAGAAATCGTCCATTACAAGCCATCTCGGGAAGTAGTCTTCCAAGGTTCTATGTGAGTTTGAAGCCAATTATATGATATTCCTTGTTTAATCAAACACATTGTTTGTTTGACCCCAGAAATCGTCCATTACAAGCCATCTCGGGAAGTAGTCTTCCAAGGTTCTATGTGAGTTTGAAGCCAATTAGTGCTAATTGAGAATCATTAAAACCTCATTGATGGGTTGAATATAAACACTTATCCAATAATATAGGGCTATATCTATATCCGATAAAATCAGAAAACAACAAGAATATAGTGATTGATATCTCTAACATGTTGCTAACAAAAATCACATATATAGATTCCTACGAGTAAATATGCACGTTCAGGATTTTTCAAGGCACTATGACACTATTTACTATATGTTGCTGTTGGTTCAACACATTCTGAGGAAGCATTTGGAACAATAGCAATGGAGATATCAGCGGAAACATAATTATATCTAATCCAGAAAATCGGGAGATTGATCAGACTCTTAAATCCGTATTTTCCATTATTTTCCGGTGTTTCAATGATTTGTTTCGGATTGAACATCTTATGTTTGGTGTCAAAACACCTGCATTTCAGTTAATTACTTAAACGACAGGAAAGCACACCCCGCCGGAGAAAAAAAAAAACAGAGCTCATTTATGAGCCCAACTTAACTGTAGACTAATCTCCGCCACGAATCCAAGCGTTTGCCTAGCTATGTTTACCAACTTACCTATTATCTAACTGTTCAACAGAATCACATGAACCATCCCCATTTCTTTTCTCTGAAAATCATAATCTTCCATCATCTTCCCTCATCTTTCTAAGAGTCCTGACCTTTACATCATGTTAAAAATTGTTAAATCACCATTTTCCCAGCATTTTTCAGGCATAAACCCTGCCTTGCCGCCATTTGCCCGGAGCAAAGGGCCGAGTCCAGGGACGCGTAAAGGGACGCCTCGCGGTGAGGAAATTCACAATGAATGGGGGATGATGGAGGGAACTCATGGGATATCTGGGTTTAATAATAATTAATCATGGTTAATACTTAATAGTTAATCATGGTTAATGATGGTTGATAAAGGTTAATGATGGTTGATAACGGTTAATGATGGTTGATAACGATTAATGCTGGTTAATTATATAATATTATATAATATAAACCGTATAGGATTAAATCTAGTCTGCAATGTGGGGCCCCAAAACTTGACGTTTGTTGGTTTATAAAGCCCATGACATATAGTTATTTGCGTATCAGAAAGCAGAAACCAACTTAGCTATCGTTTGGGGCCCCACATTGTGGGGGTTTGAGTATTTAAAGCTATTAAATATATGCATTTGAGCAGCAAATGAGGATGATATGACCAGTAAATTAATGTAAATTAACTATCTAATTTATTTAAGCATCATGGAATTGAATATATTATATTGAATATATGATGATGAACCATGAATGATTCGTGATATATATATATATCTCAATCCAAATGCTTCCTTTTCGAAGGGACTTAACTTAACATAGCTGCCAAGGTCAAACCATGGTATCATATTATACGGGGTACGGTCCTCCCTTTCCCAATCGGAATCCAAGCGCAGCGGGTATATTACGGATTAGGGTTATATGGGTATGGCTCAAAATTAGGCACCCCAATAATTAGATGGTTCATACAAAACATAATCATACTAACATCTGTGGCTGCCATAGGCCTTTTGACCCATACCCATATATATTCATCCCTTTTGATTGATGGATGATCAGCTCCCTAGCTGTGGGCAGTTAGCTCCCTACATGGGCACTTCACCCAAGTTTTGAAGATGGTACAATATGGATCCAAATACGTCCTTCGAGAAAATGGACAAAACGCCACCGAAAATCATAGGACTGCCATACTTTCGAACTGGTACCGAGCCCGGCTGGATAGATTACTTTCAGTATATGACCGGCCGCAACGGGGATGAAAAACTACCTTACTACCATTCTACTTCCTCAGAAGGCTGAATCCATAAGGCTTAAATTGATGTATTTGACTATTTGTTTTAGCATATTTATAATTTTATAGGTGTGTGAATTTTCGTAAGGTGAATGAATTAAGCGATTACAGTAAATATACACGATATTGTGAAGAAACTGGATCAATCAATGGAAGATCAGTTTGTTTTTTACCCAATAATTTACCATGGTTGGTCTTTAGGAGAAAAACATTGCAAACAAATATCAGAATAAATACAACAAACATCAACAAACAACTAAAACCAAAATACCTGCAACATGCAGCAGTAATGACTCTGGTGGGGCTAGGATACAAGAAAGGATACATGCTTTAGGATCTTCTGCTGGCCTGGAGCAGCCGTTTCTCCATCAACATATTTCATTTTCATGACTGAAATTTCAGTTTTTGTATTTTTTCTGGTGGATGAAATAATGACAATTCATGTCCCATTGGGTTAAAGTCTAGTGGGGAACTTCACAAGTTTCAAACTCGATCCATTTTAAGGTGTAACTTCTCGGGGCAGGACACACAGGTAGGCCGGCTCTGGAGACCAGTGACACAATTGGAGTTTCTTTCACCAGAAGATGGTTAGGTTACATCGACCATTTGGCCAAAATTGGTGACGAAAATAAAACACTGGTGCTCTAGAACCACCGAAACTCCTCAACCAAATGCTATGTTTGATCCATTCCCTGACATGTCAGTGGTTTCAGGGTCAGATCCTTCCAATTTCATCCACGCTGCGCGAAGCGGGCTTTCTTGGAAATGCCGGAGGTCCTGCTTGGGAGTGCTTATTTTAGTTCAGATGTCTAAGGGAGGTTTTTTGCGGGAGTTTGGAGAAGTCTAAGTTGGGTTGAAGTCGAAGGGGCTATATACCCCATTGTGACTATCTTGAGATTTTGATAGAAGGTTCCTGGATGTCCCTGGGGTAACCACTAGGCAAGCCAGTCAACCAATAGCGGTTGGCATAGTTCATAGCTGTTTTTTTTCCCTCCAGTAGTAAACCAACAGGTTGCTATGAAACATGGCCCACTTCTAGAGGATCCATCTATTTAAATGCTGACTTTCCATAACTGTTTGAAATTACCAGAGGGTAGCTCATAGTTGGTTTTACTGCATTCTTGTTCATGTTCATTCTGAACTACAGCCACATGTTCCATGCTAAACACTTCACTCACTGACCATGACCGTGAATTTGGCATGGGTCGCAATTTGGGTTGACGAGTAGGAAAAATCAGCTTTGAATTCGCAGACTTGCAGGATCCATCCTTGAGCCGCCCCATTTTTTCCAACTTAGTATACAGAATGAAGTATTCTGATATGACAGCGGGCAATAAGACAAGAATATTTACCAATGATTAAGAATGATTACCCAAAGTGGCAGATTTGTGTTGGTCAACCTGGGCTTGCCTGAAAATAGGAATCCTCATTCACTCTGTCTCTCTCTCTCTCTCTCTGTGTATCTATATATATATACACACATGCATTACATAAATAGGATGCAAATCCCAAATTTCACAATCTTGGATTCATTGTATTCTGATTATCTGACAATATATAGTCCTGTAGCCCTATATTATGATGGATATATCATTATGATTATCTCAATATTGGATTCATATATATATATACACATGTATATATATATATATATATCATGATAGTCCTCATCTATAGCAAGAGATGAAGGTAATGTAGCTACCAATCCAGTTGGCCAGAAGCGGGGAGTAAATCCACAAATTTCAAACATAGCCATAGATCATATCAAGTTGGTGACATACCATTGTATGTCCATTATATGCCCATTGTGTTCCCATATGCCTATATATACATTATATATATGTATGTATGTATGTATGTATGTATGTATGTATGTATGTATGTATGTGTGTATGTATGTATGTATGTATGTATATATATATATATATATATATGTATGTATGTATATATATGTATATGTATATGTATATATATATATACATATACATATATATATATACATAAAGGACTATACATCAACAAGTAACCACTGAGAAGGGACCTAGCTTCTCCTTAATTCTCCATCATACCTCACTCATACTTCAGAAGCTACGGCTGGAACCATAGGGTATGGTTTAGAACTTCACAGTCCTTATCAAAACAACCAATTTGCTTGGTAGACCCCCCTTTGACAGCCACATGTCATATTGTTGGCCATATTGATCACAGAACATCCCATCAAAATTGCATGAAATCACATGCAAATCACTCCCTATGGATCCAACCGCACTTTCTTCACGAAGGTACAAAAGACCCCCTCGTCATCATAGCCCGGTCACACTTCCTCCAGGTACGGTACGGTCGGATCCATAGGGATTCTTTATACATATGTGTCTTTGATAATTCTTTGATGTCATTGTTATATCCAATAACATCCCGCAATATCCCATCAAATCGCAAATAGATCACTATTTTCTCCAAAAGCACCAGATGCCGAAAAACCGCTTCCACCTCGAAAGAACCACAGAAGCCGGGGCAAGGACTGTGCTCCTGCAATCTCCGGATATCGGATGCTGAAACATGAAGAATTCATCGTCAAAAATAGGGGTGACACCAATGAATATGGGATACATACGGTGGATGGAGGAAATCCTGCACCAGTTCATAGGTGGTTTATCCCATTATTTCCAGGCTTTCTACCATCCCAGGTGGTGCATATGATACATTAGGGATTTAACTGATGTTTTTCCGGGAATTTTGCGGAGCTATAATGGGAAAAATGGGATTTATCCCAACTTGATATGATATATGGATGTGTCTGAGAATGGTGTATAATGTGTATACCACAAACCATCACCGTTTAGTTTCATCAAACCCATTACGTATATATATATAAATATATAATATGTGTGTTTATTACGAGCGAATAGTTGATTGTAATCGTATAATATGTGTTTATTACTACAACAAAAATAGCATATTATATTACATTGCATTACATTCTATATATATTATATCATACTATATAGATTATGTTATTTGTTACAATATAAAATAATAAAATATAATATTATATTACATTACATTACTGGCCAGAGGTTAAGGAAGTCAAAAAGTGACAAGATGTTGTTGAGAATATTCATTGGATTCCATCCACAAGCGCTATTGTTTCAACATGATTCCAATAATTCATGTTCATTATTATAATTATCGAACTTCGGTAATTTATAATCCTTATGTAATATCACCGGTACTCTTTATCATAATGATTAATCTGGATTGAGAAAATATCTTATGTAATATCTTGGCATGAGGATATCTAGAACTCATAATAATAAGATCAGAGGTACTAAGGGGTTTACCCAAGATGATTTTATGAATGAGAAAATAAACGGTTCATTTTCCCTTAGCAATTCCATAGGGCTATATTATAGGCTATAGTTATAAGAATAACCTTTTAATATCAGGAAAATGAACCGTTCATTTTCTCGACATAGCCCATTAGGGTAAATTAATGAATGCCCTGGCAAATTCATTAATAAATTACTGAACACAACCAATTGTGGGTTCACTCCATAAATTTTAAACCTATTATAGTATAATTATAAAATAAGTATGGGAAATAATATAACCCCCGACTGCCAGGGCCTCAGCGGTTGCAGCGATCCTCCTCCTTCTCCTCCTCCTGCTCATCATCATCATCGTCATCATCATCAACGTCATCATTATCATCATCATCACCATCGCCATCACCATCATCATCACCACCATCATCATCACCACCATCATCATCACCATCATCAGCATCATCATCCCCCTCATCATCATCATCACCATCATCATCATCACCATCATCAGCACCACCATCATCATCATCACCATCATCACCATGATGATCATTACCATCACCATCACCATCATCATCATCATCATCATCAACATCATGATCATCACCATCATCATCATCATCCTCCTCCTCCTCATCATCATCATCATCAGTTTCCCCTTCATCTTGCCCTGGCTAGAAGAGTCCCTTAGGCCAAGCCAATGGCATATCTTTTTGATAGATTTATTTCTATTTGGTTTCGATGGATTGGATGACTAGCAATTTTAATTGAATTTACGTAATCTCAAATTAGTTAACTACTATGGCCAGACCTTAGTGCCTTGTGATGCCTTTGTAGGGATTGTCATTGTGACACCCTGGGCTCCGATACTGTTATCCTCCATCAATGGGAATCAGATGGCGAGGAAATGGAGATTGAAGGCACCTGACAATTTTTTGGCCCAGTAAAGAGTCCTGGTGCTAATTTATTGGAGTGGCATTAGACACTTGGTTCGACCACATGACTTTGGGGGCTTGCTGATAGAAAGCTGCCTTGGGATTGGGGTTTGGAATTATTCAACCAACTTACCTGGCACCCATGAAATCCCTCATCGCAATGGTTGAATACTTTAGTCTTGACTTTTACCAGATAAACCATTGCTTTTTTTACTGCCGCCAATGGGCCTCCAGTCAGGATAACCCCATTTTGGACACCCCATAATCATACAGTGTAATTTAAATGTAGCATGGGTTAAACAGCTCCTCATTTAAAGTATTCCAATAACAATATATTCCAAGTATCACACCACGGGTGAGCCCATGGGATTCCACACATCATTGCCTGCTCTCTGGACCTGCTCGCTGGGTTGAATGGATTGGGAATTGAACAGGATTTCTTCAGGGTCCCCTAGATGTAAATTGAATTCAAATCCCACAAGTTATGGTTATAATTGGGGTGGGATTTGGATCAGCAGTAGCCTCTGCCGTACCTCTGCCAGCACTGCACAGAAATATTCAAAAATTAAAAAACCAGGAAAGTCTGACAGGCGCTGATAAGGAAATCAGTGCATAACGGATAGGGTCTGGCAGGCCCTATCCCCTGTGCGTTCGGTAGCGCTCTGGAGTGCACCCAGCCTATCATTAAGGAAGTGCAGGAGAGGCTGGGCACTCTCGGTAGCGCTCTGGAGTGCACAGGGGATAGGGCCTGCCAGACCCTATCCGTTATGCACTGATTTCCTGCAGTCCTGGCAAAGGTACGGCAGAGGCTACTGCTGATCCAAATCCCACCCCAATTATAACCATAACTTGTGGGATTTGAATTCAATTTACATCTACGGGACCCTGAAGAAATCCTGTTCAATTCCCAATCCATTCAACCCAGCAAGCGAGTCCGGAGAGCAGGCAATGATGTGTGGAATCCCATGGGCTCACCCGTGGTGTGATACTTGGAATATATTGTTATTGGAATACTTTAAATGAGGAGCTGTTTAACCCATGCTACATTTAAATTACACTGTATGATTATGGGGTGTCCAAAATGAGGTTATCCTGACTGGAGGCCCATTGGCGGCAGTAAAAAAAGCAATGGCAGTGCAGGGGCAAAGGGGGCCGAAGCGTGGGTTTCCGACGTTGCGCTGTGACGCTCCCGGGGGCGGGTGGCGCTGCGACGCTGCGACGCTGCGACGCTCCGGGGGGCGGGTGGCGCTGCAACGCTGCGACGCTGCGACGCTTGGGCCAGTGACGCTGCGACGCTGTTGGCGCTGCGACGCTGCGACGCTGTTGGCGCTGCGACGCTGCAACGCTGCGACGCGGGAGCGACGCTGCGACGCTGTTGGCGCTGCGACGCTTCCTTCTGCAAGAATGCACACGGCGTTGCGTCGCGGCGTGACACGGAAACCCCCATTGAAGATCGTCAATGAATGTAGAAATTTATATATAACGGGGCTGAAAGAATTAAATCCTTATTGAAGATCGTCCATGAATGTAGAAGTTTAACGGGGCTGGGAGAATTAAACCCTCATTGAAGATCGTCAGTGAATGTAGAAGTTTAACGGGGCTGGGAGAATTAAACCCTCATTGAAGATCTTCGATGAATGTAGAAGTTTAACGGGGCTGGGAGAATTAAACCCTCATTGAAGATCTGGGAGAATCCCTCATTGAAGATCTTCAATGAATGTAGAAGTTTAACGGGGCTGGGAAGAATTAAACCCTCATTGAAGATCGGCCATGAATGTAGAAGTTTAACGGGGCTGGGAGAATTAAACCCTCATTTAAGATCGTCCATGAATGTAGAAGTTTAACGGGGCTGGGGAGAATTAAACCCTTATTGAAGATCGTCCATGAATGTAGAAGTTTAACGGGGGTGGGGAGAATTAAACCCTCATTGAAGATCGTCCATGAATGTAGAAGTTTAACGGGGCTGGGAGAATTAAACCCTCATTGAAGATCGTCATGAATGTAGAAGTTTAACGGGGCTGGGAGAATTAAACCCTCATTGAAGATCGTCATGAATGTAGAAGTTTAACGGGGCTGGGAGAATTAAACCCTCATTGAAGATCGTCAATGAATGTAGAAGTTTAACGGGGCTGGGAGAATTAAACCCTCATTGAAAGATAAGATCGGCCATGAATGTAGAAGTTTAACGGCTGGAGAATTAACCCCTCATTAAGATCGTCCATGAATGTAGAAGTTAACGGGGCATGGGAAATTAAACCCTCATTGAAGATTAACGGGGCTGGGGAGAATTAAACCCTCATTGAAGATCGTCCATGAATGTAGAAGTTTAAACGGGGCTGGGGAGAATTAAACCCTCATTTAGATCTTATGAATGTAGAAGTTTAACACGGGGCTGGGAGAATTAAACAAAGATCGTAAAGAAGTAGAAGTTTACGGGGCTGGGGAGAATTAAACCCTTATTGAAGATCGTCCATGAATGTAGAAGTTTAACGGGGCTGGGAGAATTAAACCCTTATTGAAGATCGTCCATGAATGTAGAAGTTTAACGGGGCTGGGAGAATTAAACCCTCATTGAAGATCTTCGATGAATGTAGAAGTTTAACGGGGCTGGGAGAATTAAACCCTTATTGAAGATCTATGAATGTAGAAGTTTAACGGGGCTGGGAGAATTAAACCCTCATTGAAGATCGTCCATGAATGTAGAAGTTTAACGGGGCTGGGGAGAATTAAACCCTCATTGAAGATCGTCCATGAATGTAGAAGTTAAACGGGGGTGGGGAGAATTAAACTCTCATTGAAGATCGTCAATGAATGTAGAAGTTTAACGGGGCTCGGGAGAATTAAACCCTCATTGAAGATCGTCCATGAATGTAGAAGTTTAACGGGGCTGGGAGAATTAAACCCTCATTGAAGATCGTCAATGAATGTAGAAGTTTAACGGGGCTGGGGAGAATTAAACCCTCATTGAAGATCGTCCATGAATGTAGAAGTTTAACGGGGCTGGGAGAATTAAACCCTCATTGAAGATCTTCCATGAATGTAGAAGTTTAACGGGGCTGGGAGAATTAAACCCTCTTTGAAGATCGTCAATGAATGTAGAAGTTTAACGGGGTAGAATTAAACGAAGATCGATGAATGTAGAAGTTTAACGGGGGTGGGGAGAATTAAACCCTCATTGAAGATCGTCAATGAATGTAGAAGTTTAACGGGGCTGGGAGAATTAAACCCTCATTGAAGATCTTCGATGAATGTAGAAGTTTGAAGGGGCTGGGAGAATTAAACCCTCATTGAAGATCGTCAATGAATGTAGAAGTTTAACGGGGCTGGGAGAATTAAACCCTCATTGAAGATCTTCGATGAATGTAGAAGTTTAACGGGGCTGGGAGAATTAAACCCTCATTGAAGATCTTCAATGAATGTAGAAGTTTAACGGGCCGAGGTAGTGTTCAGAGGGGGTCGCTGGCTTGATCTTCGAAGATGCAACATATATTCAAAGGGGGTGGCGGGGCTGATGTCTCAAGGTGCAACGTATTGTTCAGAGGGGGTTGGGGAGTTGATGTCTTGTGATGGTGAAGATGCAACATAGTGTTCAGAGGGGGTTCCAGGGCTACTGTCTCAGCTTGTCCGGTGGCTTCTCGGCTTCTCGGCTTGTCCGGTGGCTTCTCGGCTTCTCGGCTTGCCCGGCGGCTTCTCGGCTTCGCGGCTTCTCGGCTTCTCGGCTTGCCCGGCGGCTCCTCGGCTTCGCGGCTTCTCGGCTTCTCGGCTTGTCCGGTGGCTTCTCGGCTTCTCGGCTTCTTGGCTTCTCGGCTTGTGCCGGGCTTCTCGGCTTCTCGGCTTCTCGGCTTGTGTCGTACTTCGCGGCTTCTCGGCTTCTCGGCTTCTCGGCTTGTGTCGGGCTTCTCGGCTTCTCGGCTTCTCGGCTTCTCGGCTTCTGGTCGCATTTCTGGGCCCCTTTTGCCCGTGCTTTGAGCAATGGTTTATCTGGTAAAAGTCAAGTCTAAAGTATTCAACCATTGTGATTAGGGATTTCATGGGTGCCAGGTAAGTTGGTTGAATAATTCCAACCCCAATCCCAAGGCAGTTTTCTATCAGCAAGCCCCCAAAGTCATGTGGTCGAACCAAGTGTCCAATGCCACTCCAATAAATTAGCACCAGGACTCTTTACTGGGCCAAAAAATTGTCAGGCGCCTTCAATCTCCATTTCCTCGCCATCTGATTCCCATTGATCGAGCATAACAGTATCGGAGCCCAGGGTGTCACAATGACAATCCCCACAAAGGCATCGCAAGGCACTTAGATCTGGCCATAGTAGTTGACTAATTTGAGATTACGTAAATTCAATTAAAATTGCTAGTCATCCAATCCATCGAAACCAAATGGAAATAAATCTATCAAAAATATATGCCATTGGCTTGGCCTAAGGGACTCTTCTAGCCAGGGCAAGATGAAGGGGAAACTGATGATGATGATGATGATGATTATGATGATGATGATGATGAGGATGATGATGATGGTGATGATCATGATGCTGATGATGATGGTGATGGTGATGATCATGATGATGATGGTCGTGAACATGATGATGATGATGATGGTGATGATCATGATGATGATGATTATGATGATGATGATGAGGATGATGATGATGATGATGGTGATGATCATGATGCTGATGATGATGGTGATGGTGATGATCATGATGATGATGGTCGTGAACATGATGATGATGATGATGGTGGTGATGATGGTGATGATGATGATGGTGATGGCGATGGTGATGATGATGATAATGATGACGTTGATGATGATGACGATGATGATGATGATGAGGAGGAGGAGGAGAAGAAGGAGGAGGATCGCTGTAACCGCTGAGGCCCCGGCGGTGGCTCCAGAAGCCGCCGGGTGCCACAGCAGCGGCAGCCAGCGGCGGTGGCAGTCGGGGGTTATATTATTTCCCATACTTATTTTATAATTATACTATAATAGGTTTAAAATTTATGGAGTGAACCCACAATTGGTTGTGTTCAGTAATTTATTAATGAATTTGCCAGGGCATTCATTAATTTACCCTAATGGGCTATGTCGAGAAAATGAACGGTTCATTTTCCTGATATTAAAAGGTTATTCTTATAACTATAGCCTATAATATAGCCCTATGGAATTGCTAAGGGAAAATGAACCGTTTATTTTCTCATTCATAAAATCATCTTGGGTAAACCCCTTAGTACCTCTGATCTTATTATTATGAGTTCTAGATATCCTCATGCCAAGTTATTACATACGATATTTTCTCAATCCAGATTAATCATCATGATAAAGAGTACCGATGATATTACATAAGGATAAAAGGTTACCGATTTCATGCCTATGTTTTGGTTTTCAAAAAATGACATTGCATTTTTTGCCTAAACTAACATCACCCCAGATAATATTATATTAATATTATATAATATTATATTATATTATATTATATTATGTGATATTATATTAGATTATATTATTTTATATTATATATGATTATATATTATATTTTATCATATTATATTATAATATGTTATATTATATTATACATTCTAGATTGTATGTAAAATATTATATATATAATAATTATGTATACATATAATATACTCCGGGTTCATCGGCAATTTAGCCCCACATGGGTCAAAGATGTGGCACCGAGACCATCTTATTTCTGGCCCACTTACTTGAAAAGCAGTCGGCAGTTGGAAAACCCCACTTTTGCTTTTGTAACCACGGTTGGGACACTCCCCAACCATGGTTGCTAGGCAATTTTACTGAAATGGTCATGAAACAGTATGGATTGAAGAAAAAAACAAGAGAACAGAACACCTTCATGCATTTTACCATGCAGTCCCCCGTTTCCGATACCTAAGTTGGTGCAAATATCTCCAATAACTATGGCAACTATGGAGCTTTCGTTCGCTGGGAACATCATCTATAAATTGATTTCCGGATGGTACTTTACCCTCTGGTAAACTAAGATATACTAACATAATCTATAGACAATTGCCCATTTATAGTTGATTTACCTATTTAAATCATGTTTTTCATAGCTTTGTTCAATTGCCAAAGGGTCCCACCAGACTTTCCCGACACAAAAACCACAGCACCTCGCACCGTCGCACCCCTGGTCGGGTCGTCCTTGGCATCCGATCCAGGAGCACCTGCACGGCTGCTTCGCGTGCCGCCTGGCACTGCTGGCACGCGACGTGTAGTCTTGGGAGGTGGAGACGACTTGAGCCCCTTGGGGATGCCAAAGGGTATGCCAAAAACATCCTAAAGTCCTATGAACATTGGGATTTCACCAACTCAAAAAGTGGATGCATGAGGAGATGAGCCAGAAATAATGGGGATATCGTTATGTATAGCAGCAATATCGGATATTTCACAATTATGGGATATCCATTAACATATCCCACTGATAAGACGGTTATCATGGGGGTATTCAATCGCAATCATGAGGTAATATATGGGGATGTTGCCCAGCAATGGGGGAACGAACCAACAATCATGCGACATTTCTGTGGCTTCGTCCAAAAATGGGGCAACAGCCACTAAAATGTTTCAGCTGCTTTTGATCGGGAACATCAGGAGTCAACTGGGGAGATCTGGGGGTTCCAGTGGATCAATAAATCCATGGAGATATCCTGGTGGTTGAGCCACCTACCCCTCTGAAAAATCATGGAGTGAAAGTCAGTTGGGATGATGACATTCCCAATATGATGGGAAAGTCATAAAAGCCATGTTCAAAACCACCAACCAGTCATCATCATATTAGATATTATACTTGTGTATATATATATATAGTACCTATAGGATACCATATTGGTGGTTATGTATATATATATATAAACCACCAAGCAGTATCAATATTAGGAGGCTTCCTAATTCCTAAGTCATCGGGATCATCCAAGTCATGGACCGCCGTGGCTCACCTGTATAGCTGCTGTATAGCCATATGGAACATGGCATATTTGTAGATGAATTGTGATGATTTACAGTGATTTACATTGATTTACCTATTGAAATTGGTGACTCTCCATAGTCCTGTTCACCAGAGGGTAGGGCTCATGATTCTCCAAGATTAAAACGTTCACAACATCATTACTGTGAGAAGTTACCTGTTGGAAAAAAATTAAAATAATAATCTATAGATGAGTTATAAGTTACTATTACAGTACTAAGTACTATATTTATAAATGAATTAAGTTGAATTAGGACGATCGGATAGCCTGTTTGTATCATTCTATCCCTAAGGTCAGTGGATGATCCAGTATCCCAGTTCCTAACCACTTACCCTCCAAACTAAGATAGCTATTGAACATGGCCCATGCAAATTTCGTTGATTTACCATCTGGTTATTTAACAGGTCGCCATGGAAAAGCACCGTTTTTAATAGGTAAACCATCTATTTCTATGGGCCATCTATTGGCGAACTGTTAGTCATAACCAGAGGGTACAAAGCGGGGCCCCCTAGATAGCTAAGTTGGTTTATAACTCCAATAACTATGGTTTATGGTACTTATAACTATACTTACTGGGGCTTATAAACCAAGTTATAACTGGGGGGCTCCACATTGTACCCCTTCAAAATGCTGGATTTTCCGTTGGATCCTCCAAGGTGCCCTGCGCCTGCGCGGACTGCCCCAAGGCCGCCCCTTCCAGGCGTTCGCCCTGGGTGGCGGAGCCTTTCAGCACCACCGTGGCATACCACGGTTCTTCGGCCGATTGCCTGGAGCGGAATTCCCGGAATTTCCGGAATTCCATGTGGGGTCCCCTTTGAGGTGATGTTTCTTGGGTTAGAATCCCCATGAAAACTAGAGTTATAAATATATGTATATATATATATACATATCTGGTGGGTGGTTTCAACCCTTCTGAAAAATATGAAAGTCAGTTGGGATGATTATTCCTAATATATGGGAAAGTAAAAAAAGTTCCAAACCACCACTTTGTACCGCTTTGCACTACGCGCTGTCTTAGAGGTCGAAGACAGCACATTGACCGTAGTAAACAGCTACTTAGGTTGCGACTGCACCGTCACAGGCACCGAAACAAGCAGCCCATCCCAGGGCAGCGAAAGCTGTCGGAAGGGCACAAGAGAAAACAACAAGAGCCATCTGCGCATTACACACAGGGCCCAAAGACAAGCACCTGTAACGTGGTCAATCACAAAAGTTGCTAGGCAACACAACCCCGCCAGGATGGCAGCCACAAACTTGGAACCACCCCTGTCACGACCAGGGTGACACGCGACCCGAATCCTACTGACACTGAGAAAAAGCAAGTGCGTCAGGAGCCGAACTTTGCCAGCCACCACGACATGGCATTGCGTCAGTGCAGCACTAAACCCCAAAATAGTGTACATCGCCATGGGCAACCGAATTTGCTCAATCACCATAGCCATTGCTTGACCCCTTCCACAAACGTGTAAGGAAGTCCCCAGCCCACCATGTCCATTGAGACCAAGCTCTTCAGATGGCAATCCATTCTGTCGGCATTGAGTGGAGAGCACAACATAGCTACTGGCAGCAAGAAGGCCATCCGAACCATTGCCATGGCGCCACTGATCTGAAGGAGCAACATCCAGGCCACAGCAAACATCAGGGAGCTTGACGTAGTCGTTCCAAGAAGGGGTGAGTTGATGCAAAACCATGGTGTCAGGTCCAGTGGTCAGAGCCGCGAGCAGGTACTGGGTCACCACCGCGGCATCCAGCAGCTTCACCACTTCTGAGCCTCCATCCAGCAAACGGCGAAACACCATACACGCTCCATTGTGCACCATGCAGAGGAGATGGCGTTCATGTCTGCAGTCAAACACCTCAACCTTAGACACCACAGTCATTGGACCACCAGCATCGATCCTGCTGATGTCCATCAACTTACCATGGCAGACAGCGGTGGGCAGAACCTCAACGTTCGGCTGGGGACAGCCGCACCAGCTGGAAGGGTCACCCACATTCCCAAGGATACCGTGAGTACCAGAGTGAGCCTCATGAAGCTCCAGCATCTTTGCTTTGCAAACTGCCGAGGCAGTTGTTCGAACACCCACATCCAGAGCTCCATGCGCAACTCCCCCAATACCACAGCAGACGTCCACCAACTTGAAGTAATCATTCCAAGAGTGGATGGAAGGATACAGCACCTTTGTGTCCTTGCCTTGTTCAAGCACTGGAATCAGGAGCTGAGCCTCCACCAGAGCATCCACCAGCGTCACCATGTCAGTTCCCTCATCCAGCAGTCCACTATAGACCATAGAGCCACCAGAGTAGGCCATTCGCAACAAGTGCCTTTCAAGTCAGCAGTCAAAGACATCCACCTTGGCGACCAGGGTCAAAGGACTGCCAGAGTCAACAAACCCAACGTCCATCAAAGGTCCATGGCTAACAGTGGTGAGCGAAACCTCAACGTTCAGCGAGGGTCGGCCGCACCACTGGAAGGTGTTGAGCCCGCGGCTTGTTCCAAACCACCAACCAGATATACATATATTTATAAATATCATAAACCATAGTTATTGGAGTTATATGCAACAAGTTAGGTATCGTCTGGGGGCCCCACATTTTTTGGGAAAAACAGCACAACTATATAGTGGGTTATAATCTATGAATGATTAAAAATAACAATGTGTTTATGAGGAACGACATGATGGGAATAATATTACATGGGATAATGGTAAGATGGCCTATTTATCTCAGGGGTTGGTTAATATCCTACTTGTTCGCACCACCCAACTAGAAAGAGGATCGGTCATCTCCAACAGATATCATGATGTTCGAAAACTCCAAAACCAGACGTGTGCCAATCTTTGGATAATAGATCATATAACCAGCACATCTACAAGGATATGATATAATCAATTATAATCAATCTATAAATTAATTAATGGTTATATCATATCCTATAGAATGATGCTTGAAATCTATATCATATCCTATAAATTCCTATAAAATGATTAATCTATCTGGTTCCACATGGATGTTGATGACAAACACTCCGGAGAAATCCTCGCCGATGTGGATCTAGCACCGTGAAGTATGACTGGGCACTGGGGGTGATTTGTAGCTGCGGCCGGGAGACAATGGGATATGGTGGGAATACCATGGGAATATAAATGTTTTCATGCAATGATATGAGTGTGACTGAAAATCTGGAAAAAAAAACACCACAATATGATTCAATCCACCGTGCCGGTCGGTATATGGTATACCTAGTAAACCGTAAGTATGCAGAATTTTAGTCATTTCGAGAAAAACAATGTTTTTTGAAACAATTACGTTTTTTGGCTTTCACTGCTGTGAAATTACGTTTTTTGATAAATCACTACATGTAGGAATGTTTGGGACATGTTGGTTATATGTGATGATAAATCTCATCTGGAAGGGGGAAGATTAGATCTATAGGGTACCTCGCGACCGTGAGTCTGACCTGGCTCGGCAGAGATCAGCCCCTTTGGTGTGAGAAGGGTTGGAAGAGGTGCCATCCCCCTTGCCATTCAGATTTGAATGCTTGATATGCTTCTCTGCTAGCATTTGCATAATCTGCGTTTCTGGATTGCAAGTGTTGGTGTTTTTGATTTGTCTTGACTTTTGTGGCCAGATTTGTCATCTCAAAAGGGTCTTATAGAGATACCATGGCGGCTACAATTGCCAAGTGTTCCCTCGAAGCAGCCACTCGCATCAAGGAGGAAGGCTGGGATTTGGTCTTTGAAAATCAAGAATATGATTCAATCCAATTACTGTGCAATAAGTCCCCACCAGCCCCACTTAGCTCCGAAAGGCTTAGGGCATCTTCCAGACAGCTTCTGGGATGCATGTGTCGCTGCCCTTTTTGCATGTGTCGCTGCCCTTTTTTCTTCCAGGGATGTGGCTTGTCAGCACCGAAACCGTTGAGACAGCGCTAATACTTTAGCACATTCTGTGTGGCATTTTTTCCAAGGAGCTCCCGGAACCTGATCAAGTATTGGCCATCATTGTGAAAAATATCAAAGTTGGTGGTATCTGTGAGGAGTTGCTGAAGCAGGATGGGATTCTACACTTGTTGCATGTTTAGGCTGATTTCGTGAGCCACTCACTACATGGGTTTCTCTTAGCTCACCTGCCAGGAGACCACAGCGGGTGCACCATCGAAGGTACACGCTGGAGAGGAGACGTTTGCCAAGCAACATGTCATGGCATACTATAGTAAATAGTACATTTATTTGTTTAAATATTTATATTATAGATATAAAAGACATAACATGCTGCACTGGGTATGGGCTACAAATAAATATAAATATATATATATCAGATAAGGGAACCGTTTTAGGGAAATCAATTCCTGGGTTTTGCCCAAAGGGTTAGCCAGCCAAGATTTGAGGAAGGGTGCGACCAACCAAAAGTGAAAGACTTGCTGCCCGGAAATTTTTCTTTCAATTCGATGAGGGGTTTGCAGTCCAGCCCATGTGTTTTTGCCTGGCTTTCGACTTTGGATGGGCGAAGCCTACAAGCAACATGTTTTGATACCAGGATTCTAGCTGAAAACCAGCACTTTGTTTCTACCACGTTGGTAGAATCAGATCTTGAAAAGCAATAATTTTTCAGGCTTTGGGGGCCGTACCACGGCTATTGACAGTGCTGGTGCGCGCACAAACGCTATAGGGAAGAAAATGAAAATACATGCCCAAGTTGTGAGCTTCAAGTTTCCCCTAGCCAACGATCCATGTTTGGGGTCATAACCCAACTATCTTTGTGTTTACAATAAAAATTTAGGGGTTGGGGGTTACAACTCAATTCTGGTTGCTAAAACCAAGTAAAACAACTTTGAGTTCATCATCCCCTTATATTACCCTTTTTGCCATCGATCTCTTTGGAGAGCTCACCCCCTCGCGCAGGTCATGGCCGCTGCTGAGCTGATTGCGCCTGGATTTCGAGGCCCAATTCGTGGCTGCTGGTTGGAGTGGGAACTTGCAAAATCAATGGTGGAGATGTTGGATTTTGGCCGCAACATGGTTTTACATTGTCTTGCAAGCATTTCGACAAATGAGACAATTTGCAACATGTCCATTTGATTTGCAGCATTTGAAAAAGAGGTTCAGACCTTTGTTTGCCCCAGGATTGGCAATCAGCTGTTTTGAACCGCAGAATGGCAGAGCCTGCCCCAAATCCTCGTCCTGCAATGGTCGTTGCCTTTGAGGACTCCTTGGATGATAGCGAGGCGCAGTGGCCACCACGCCATGCACTGGCATCCCTGTTGGAGGAACATTTCTACGTCAGGAAAAATCTGAGGGAAGGCGGCAGGATGTTGACGTGGCCAAAGCCTGAGCTTACAGGGTTAGCGACCCTTCAAGCCTTGAGCTTGAACCGTATGGCCATTTCCGATGCGTTGCAAATTTGGGGCTCCCACTCCAAAGAGGAGGTGAAATCTCCCCCGGTGGAGTGGCTTAAGGATGAGGCTATGGTTTCAAAAAAGTTCAGCGTGTATAAGTTGCAATCAATTTTTTGGTTTACAACATAGGGTCACCAAAAAATCTGGAGGTGAAGCAGCTTTATGTTTTGATGAACGTTGAGCCGAAGCCCATGAGTGTGTACATTGACGCATGGGGCACCAAGCGATTGGTTTCCTTGTGTGTGAGAAGGTGGAAGTCGCCCATCAACAACTTCAGGGATTCTTGGTGTGTCATTCGGTTTTATGGGAGTGGTTTATAACATGTTGGTTTAAGACAAACAAAAATTAGGTGTTGGTGCCCCTTGACAGTATAACCCTTCAAACAAATAATTAATCTTTTAAGTAAAACCCTATAATATTACATATAAACCATTTCATCTGATCCTGGTTTGTTGAAACAAAATTCCAGTTTGGTTTTATTGGGATGGACCCTTGAATATTGTGAACAGGATCCCTGATGTTGTGATACCGAGGACCCTTTGTTGCACCAGCTGATGGATCGGATGACCGATCACTGGGGCCATTTGGCTCCTCTTGAACCAGCCCCGGCGCAAGAACCAGCGCCGGAGCAAGTTGAGGCACCGTCCAGCGCTGCTGAAGCTGAGGAACCTTCAGCTGATGATGCCCCAGAGTCCCCATGCATGGTGGCTGCATCCCGAGCCCTTTTGCAAGCGGAGCGTGAGGCAATTTTGCAACTTGGCTGCATCTTGGTGTGTCTTGCCACATGTGGCAAGTGAAAAACCATAACTATTAGATGTATTTCAAGTTTGGGGGTACGGCACTGATGATGCTCGAAAGCGTTTCATTTGAACAAATTTGGGATTTTTTTTTGAGCATTCAGACTTGGGATTATGTTATTGATCTCTGACATTTGTTTCGACAAATACATTAAAAAAAAACAGTTTGGAAACTTGGGAGGACAAAACGATTGGTTTGACTTTCTGCGGTCGTGCTACAGGCGACGACTGCAAGCCATCCAAGATGCCCGGAACATGCCCATCCCATCGCCGCAGCCAGCTGCCCCGACCACAGCGCCTGCACTTTGCCCAGGACTGCTCCGAAACGAGGGTTGCGCCCGGCAAGGACATGGGAAGAATTTTGAAAACATTTTTCCATTCTTCATCTTGGTTTAGGACAGAATCCAGATGCTTTGGAAACCGTGCCCTTTGAGTTTACTTCCGTGGAAATCCCTGCTGAGCCTGAGCCTTCCAGCCCCACTCTGCACTATAGTCCCATTCCCAAAGATGAAACTCCCGAGATCTTGAGACTTCCTACGTTGGTTCTTGGAGAAGAAGGTGATGCTGATTCCCATGGATCCCATGACAGCCCTGTCCTCGCTGAAGAGGGGACCAAGTCATCCTTGCCTGCAGCCAGCGTTGGAGGTCTGGAAAGTGGTGATGCTACTGCCGTGGCTGCTGGTGATTCTTCGGAGTCAGGGGGGGGTGATCAGGTTTTGTCTGATGTCAAGACTGTCTCCGATGTTGATGAGAAAGCAGTGGAAAAACCCGAGGGCATCCCAATTCCGAAGCCTGTTGTGGATGGAGAATTCAATGCCCTGGAGCACCAGGATATTGGGTCATATAAACATGTTAATTTGTTACCTTTTTTAATCCATATTGGAGGGGGATAGTAATATAACCACATCAGGGGATATGAAACATTTTAATTTTAATGTTTGAAAGTCAAACAGTGCTCTATAATGTAAAAAAGGACATGTCCAACAGCTGACAACATCCCCCACAGGAGCCAACGTCTCGCTTGGAGCAATTTGGTGGGCAGCCGGAGGTAGATGACGATTTGGCTGAGGGTGGGAAAAAGGAACCAAAGGCAAAAGCGAAGGCAAAGGCACGAGGACGACCTAAGGGTAGTAAAGCAAAGCCAAAGGCGCAGGTTAAGAACCAGAAGGGAAAGAGCGAAAAGCCCTTGGCCAAGGCAAAGGCAAAGGCAAAGGCACGAGCTTCCAAGAAGCAGGTTGGTGACGATGGCGATGGTGAGGTTCTTACAACCCCCAAGCGCAAAGCCCCTCAGGGTGATGTTGAGCACGGTAGCAGGTCTAAGACAAGCAAGAAAGTTGCACCCCAGGAGCAGGCTGAGACCAAAGGAAAGAAGGCTTTGAAGAAGGCTACTGAGGCAGTCCAGGAACAGGTCAAGACCAAAGGAAAGAAGGCAAAGGTGACCAAGGCAGAGGTTAGCAAGGCTAAGAAGAAGCGGGCCTCCAAAGGTGAGGCTGTGAGCTTTGCCCGTCGCAATGCGCCGCGCAACCAGCGTGGGAATGCAGAGTGGCATGCCATCCGGGATGCCTACCGTCAGTCGCTGTCGCATTTGCACCCCCAGACTGAGAATGAGGACTGATCTTCATGACAGGGGTTTGATATCCCATTGAAAAGAACCACGCGAGTTATGAAAATGTAGAAGGACTCCTCATTGCAGATTCTTCCCTTGCCATTTTCTCTTTCCTCGATAAGACAGCCCAAGATCAGATATGATAAGATCACATAACATCATATAATGTTTATATATCTTTACATGTTCTTGTCAGGCAAGGATGCTATCTCCTCATTAGCTTCTTGTGCCCTCCAGTTGGGTTATTCCAGGACCAGTTCTGGAAGTTCTGCAAGGGCACCCACCTGGATGACTTGAACAAAGCTGGTGATGATGCCTTGGGGGACCTCATGCTCAGCCTTGCTGACTCCTTCAATGTCATGAAGACCACCGGGCGCTGCTAATCTGCCAAAACTTTTGAAGCATATGGGGACGGCGCTGCTTTTGTAGGAGCAGTTGCCCAAACTCGCATGGGGATTTGATTGGAAGTTCGCTTCCTGATCAATAAATTACAATCATGGCAGGGACAAACCTTGCGTCGAAAGCTTCAGTGGTGAACGCCACGGCACATGAGCGCTCAGAGCAAAAATGTTGGCTTGTGGCTGGAGCATTTGGTCTTTAGCTTGATTGGCTTCTCCTGTCGAATCATTACAAGATCTTTTTTTCTTGATGGTTTTGGTGGCCCCACAGCAGTTTCTTCCAATGTGGTATTTAATTCTATTCAACTCCTTGAGGAAACCAAATCCGGGGATCCATGGTGACCCTTCTCCCTGTGCGTTGGCATCGGCAGGCCATGCATGAAGAGAGGCCAAGCCTTCCTCGCACGTCATGGAGCCCTGGAGCAAGTAGATGGCAAAACCAACCTGTTTGGCAGCTGGATCTGTGTCTGAGCCAGCCTTACCTTTTATACTGAAAATACCTTCAGCACTTTGCAGCTGCTTATTTTCAAGAATACATATGCTTCGACAAAACCTCAGGGAACATAGGTTGCCATGCGTCAGCGCCATGAATCACTCCTTCGAAAGCTGATGTCTTGTCCGGGGGTTCCCAAGGACTGTTTGCTGGAAGATGTTGCAAGCACAGTTAGGAACATCAAGACTTTGGTTCCCAAATTCGTGTCATTTTCCAGGAGTTTGTTGCCATTGTGATCATGGTGGCATCCCTGCACCCTGGGCATGTAGAGAAACTATCAGGGGGCCAATTCCTTGAGGTGTTCTCAGGGCAGGCCAGGACAGCTAGGTTGGCCGGCTGGTCAGGCTACAGGTCGAAAGCCGTGGACCGGTTGTATTCCAAGTCAATGGATTTGCTGCAACCTTCAGGGTTCATGCTTCTCAGTTGTTCATCTGGAAGGCAGTGATGTTTCAGGGTCTATGTTTGGACTTCGTGTTGATCCAATGTTGTACCTTTTTTGGGGTGCGGTGCTGTCAGAGCTTTTCTTGATTGGAAGTTTTTTTTGTGCCACTCTTTGCTCTGCAACTAAGACTGTGCATCGGCATGGTTCTCAATGGCGATCAGGACCTGCTTTCGCTGGTGGCTACTGAATGTTCTAGCTTCATACACCTCAACTCAGGTACCTCCAAGAGGTCAGATGCTATGCCTGATGGAGATCCAAGTGTTCCATCAGTTTGGAACGCTAATGGGCTAGCAGCCCGAAGCTGCTTAATCATGCTTCTGTTAGTGTTGATGGGCTACACGTTTCTGCTAGAGCAGCCGGGCTCTTCGGTCCTCATGAAAACAAAAAGACTGCAGTGGCTCACAGAAGTTCTTGCTTCTTATGGCATATGGATTTTCAAACAGGCATTTTGGATGTCAGGCTGGGGACATTCGAACCCAAAGCGAACAGTGTTGTGGTCAAACAGTCCAGTAGTTCGCGTCTTCACAACACCAAAGGTGGCATTTTCAAAATGCAAGGGGCCACCGACCGCTGTTCGATATGTATCCAAAAAAACTGGCAAAGTGGGGTATACTGGCAGCAAGCACCTCAAAGCTACAGAGCACCTTGCTTCAATTCTTGCTCTCTATTCTATACTTTCATGGTTTCCAAGTTTCACAAGAATGCCCCATAGACATCCCAGAATCTTTGGTGTTCCTCAGGCATTACCCTTTGAAGTTTGCAGCCAAAGTGGTGGAGACCATTCCGGCCTTTTTCCATTTCGCTCAGCAAATGAAGACAGTTCCAGAGGCCATATCCCCTCATGGTTTTGGACCAGCTCACTATAATTCCATATCCCATACCCCAAGTTCCCGGAGGTGACCGGCCTGCTCGACCGTCGATTCCAAGAGTTGCCGTGGCAGTCTGGTGATGACCGCTGGCCTGAAGCGTGCTTGCACACTGTGATGTTTTATTTAAGGAGGTCCAAAATGATAGACCTTAGCCCTGAATACAAATGTCTCATCCCCAGGGATCTTGAGGACATAAGGCTGCTGAAATCAGGATGGGAACTCTGAAGTCCCAAATTTGCGAGAGGACAGTCCTGGCCTTGGAAAACAAGCTCGATTCTGCGATATTCAGGGTCACATGTGCACATGTGTGACATTATGTGTTTTTTGGCGAAAAAGTGTGAAAAAACAATAGCGGAATTTCCCGTCGAAAAGGCGGAAACCCGCGGAATTCTAGCGGAAATTTCCGGAGAGAAAAGTGACACCATATTTGATAAGTTTTGAGGCACTTTTTCACCACATCTTCACATTCCAGAAGGCTCAAGCCTCCTGAAGCATGAGTAGGAAGGTTGGGACCTTTTTGTCCAGCTCCTCCACTCTTGGAGAGGGTTTAGAGATAATGGCTCGCTCCGTTGATGACGTGGTGGGAGACAAGTTTGCTTTGGACTCTGAAGAGCAGCAACTTCAAGCTCGTTTGCAGGCTAGGCTAATCATATAGTGTCAAATGCAGAATGCGCAAATATAGTATGCAAGAATCTGCAAGATATGAATTTGGAGGAAACCCCATGATATGGAATCTCCCCTTGTATGTTTGGATGCAGGCGGTCAATGCGCAGATTGAAGCTGCCTCTGAACCACTGCGTACACCGAACAGGACAACTGGAGTTCCCTCAGAGGCCAGCTCTGGGTGAAACATCGCTGGGCAGGGCGAGCGTTGCGAATGCATTTCACTTTCCAGACATGTTTCATCACTTCATCACTGGTTAGGTGTTCAGTGTGGCAGCTTCAAGTTGCAACCTTATCTTTCCCAATTGCTCACGAAGCATGTCAACTAATACAGCAACAATTTGTGAAATTCTTTTTCATTCCCATGATTTTCTCAACATCCCAGGTCGACCTGATGAACAACAGACTGGGGAAGTCTTTGAGGATCGCCTGCCTGATGAGACCTTTTCACCTCTCCCCGCAGATGAGGATTTGCATTCCTGTGACCATACTCGCGTTGACTCTCCTGAGTTGTCACCGTCACCTGTGA